CGTCCTTGTAGTTATAATGTAAGTACTAGTGGAAGCGCTATTGCTGCGCATGCTACATAATAGAACGGAAAATGGAATGTGGATCAAAGTTTTGAAGGGTCAAAATTATTGAGATAACTGATTATATACCACATGAGAATAAACCCTGAGAGTAACATATCCACAAGTGTCTACTGTCTTTCTATCTATCCAGTATCAGCATACTTCTCGTGGCTGACGAATTCTCATGTTATGCGCACTATCTGACAAGCAGAATACATAACTATCACTATCCTTAATTCGAATAAAACAGAGAACAAATGGCAATATGTTGAAAACTAAGTAGACATAATTTTCCTTTCATAGTCACACAGTTCTAGATTGTTGATAACTTGTTTGAAACTGCAGATTTAATCAGGATTCGGTTCGTTCAAGTAGTCATATTGAAACTACTGATCCTGTTCAGCTCTAACAATATCCATTCACTTGACTATCTTAAACATGCCTTAGATGCACTACACTGAAGTCTAAACAGAACATCACAACTGTTCATTAATTGAACTGCCTTTATGATATTTATTCAGAGTCGGCTGTCAAACGATCGAACCTTACTGACTGTAACAGCAGTCATCGACTTTTTAAACTCTGACTACAAGTTGGTCAATAGATTCGCACAACGAAATCACGACCACTCTTCACTGTTATACTTCTGTACTTACGGTTAATCTGTTAGATATAGATATAACTAGAATTAGACACTAATTAATAGCTGTCAACGACACTGTCCGACTTACAAATTTAAATTAATGACAGTACAAACATGGACATCGATTGATAATACATTTATCCTACTATCGCTTTAGCATCATTACTCTTGCGGCAGACTTAACGTTTGTCATCGGAGGAACTGAATTACTTATCAAGGCTATATATTTCAGCGCGAATTGATAGAACAACAAAACGTCTTGTTCTTTTCATTATTTCTATGGTTAATCAATTTATGTTTAAGCAACGTCCTACTAACATATTATGACTCACTGTTTCACGACCAGTTTCTGCCGCCTCCTTTCCATTTGTTTTACAGATAAGCAATACCTGGAGGATTTATAATATTCGTTTGGCACTCTCCGGCGCGCAACTGCTCACAACATGTTTGGTACCGATTCAAACGGCCGTTGATTCTGGTGGGGGAGTATTGTAGGGCCAGTGAAATGTCACTGAGCCCTAGCCAAATCATCCGGCAGTTGGATCACTGAATGTCGAACAGATCATCGCTCCCTGCCAAGGTCATGTACAAGCGACGCGCATTAGTTAATCATATGCCATGGACGGGCCCATGCGGCAGTGGTCTCACTTTCGCTTGTATTTACCCTAACTAATATATTTCTGTAATAACGTCCTCTGTGTTGTACAGTCTTCAAAGCATCTATGGTACCTTGATACGTCAATGGGGTAGTCCACGTAAGGTGCTGACCATGAGGTGTGACTTCGATGTTAGCTAGTTTGTCACACCATTCACGTCTAACTCGAGTAGGCCTGCAATCATTTTCGACATAGATCGTCTACGTTGGTGATCTACACTGGTGAGCAAGACTTCGAGTATCGCAACCTATCACTATGATCTTTATTATTGCATTCTATACTTATTCTTTTTCATTTTTATCATCGCCTATGTCAATCTATTACTGTGAACTTTCGTTGCTTCATGTCAATGTTGATTAGCATTTAAACCTAAATAATAAGTTCTATCGATAGACCTAACTAATCAACTACGTTTATAATCGGCTATCGTGGTTCTTTAACAAGCATTAGCAGCATGTAAATGCTCCTGTGTAATATGTCTGTTAAAATATAAACCACTCGTGAGTATAGCCACAAGGAAACACGAACGCACATCTGTTTGTAACTTATCCACTGGTATAAACGAGACAAGGTTGACCGTCGACTATAAATCCATCATTCTGTTTAACCACTATCCACTAGAATGTTTTACTTTTTTTACCACTGCCTGCCTAATTCCCAATTGTTGAGTTCCATGGCCAAACAGAGGATACGAATGCTAGAAATTTACGGTGAGTTTGAACTAAAAATTTTCCGCAGTCTTAGATCATCTACGTTGGCGATCTACACTGTGAATGCGGAAAAAAATGTTCTCCACGTAGAAATATCCAGTGGGGCCGATAAACCGATTGCTTATCGGAGCAATCTAACTATTCAGTATAAGCGAAGAGTTGGGTGTTACCAAAAGAAGTCCTTAACGACCGTTGTTAAAGCAGACAGATATATTAGGTACCATGAAACTTATAATTTTTGGAATTCAGAATGACTGGTTTGTGTAACCTCTGGATTGACCGGTCAGGTACTTGTAATCTCGGATAAATCAGGACACTACAAGTTGATGATGGTACCGACACCAACTGAAGATAAATTTATGTATAAAATGTACAAAATACTTGAATAGTTTTATTTCCGGTCATGTATGTGAAGGAAGAGGCTCAAGGAAACAGTTATATTTAGGTTGAGAAAAGGGACTACCAAAGGAGATGGGCTGTTGGACCATTTGCTTTGTTCACTGGTGTAAACATTTCTGCCATACCATATTGTGACCTCGTTTACGGTTGTGTCGTGTGGGAACTGCAGTTTTCGATTGAAATCCAGAGTCAACGAGAATATCCAACAACCATATGAAGACTTTTATTTTTATTACTGTTGTGTGGACAGTTGTAATTGACATTTTGACAGTACTGTTTTATCAGTGAATGAACTTGCTGAAATTATTAAATAAACATACGCTTATGTCACTGATCGTTCAGTAGTTCTAATTTGGCTGTCTCACTTAGTTAACTACATCGTATTACATTCTCCACAAGGAGGTCCATATTGCTACTGCGAAAAGAATAGATTTAGAACAAAAAATGTACAAACGGAATTTTTGTCTACGCACATTTATGCATGCATAAAAGCGCATATAAAACCCACAGAGTTTTTCCCGTTTTCCTTGAGTACATACGAATCTCTTGAAACACGTTCAGAAATGTGAAATAAGGTGAGTAACAGGATCAATGGACAAACCTTATGAAGATCGACGTCAGCGAACAACTAAAACTCTAGTAGAATAAAGACAACAGCAGATAAAATCACTCCAATATGCGCGATAAATACAGTATCATCCAGGTCACCCCAATAAAGTAATTTTGTATGACGCCCATCAGAGGGCCTACATCTAGTAATCCTCAAATAACTAACGTTTAGATGATCTCACCCTTTCACACCACAAGTCCCCAATGCCCAGGTGCTCTCCCAGTCCATTTGACCCTGTGGTGTTAACGGCTCTAACCACACGATCCTCAAAGCTGGATATAAGATAACTGTGAGAATTCAAATGTAAAATCTATCTCAGACAGAAGTTCAGTAATAGTGTACGTGGGGATAATTGATCGAAGTGACATGACTGAGCTATGTAAGCATGGCCACTCTATATAAACTCTTGCCTTTTTGCATCAAATACATTGCTCTATCTTCGACCTAAATATGTTTCTAGAAGTTCAGGATATCATATTTCTGATGGTTACGATCGGGAGTGTCAGTATAAAGAATAATGGAACTACTGTGTAAGATCGTATGGATCAGGTAGTTGCATTATGACAAGTCTGGAGTCTTGTGATTCGGTCAATTATTATAGTAGCAAGGATAAATGTGCTAATATTGAACCAGTCCACAATTCCACAATCACACATCTCCCAACTAGAAGTTTAAGAAGGATATTGGGCTACTAAATATTTAAATATTGACCATCGTTTTTTCATGTAACTGCAGTTGAACATATATACACACATTCGGAGCATGAGGTTTTTATTCCCACCAAGTCTTGCAGTAAATCCTAGTTTCACAGTATTAACCTATTCTACCGTGTTTTGGCTCACATTATCTTCAGTTATTTATTAGCTTTCATATTTTCATTTAATTTCCTCTCCGCCTTATTCATTTGCTGATTCTTGTCTTCAGTTCATCCCTTTTCAGTCTAATCTTATGTTTTTGAGTACCGGTAATCATATGTATGGCTGAAAATACAATAGCATCTGGTTTCAGGAACTCTACTGTCCTGAGACAAATGGGATTATACTCAAAATATGTAAATTCACAACGCCCATGTTAACGCCTCTGGTTATCAAATTCAGATACCGGATAATTTGGAACTGGGTTCTTGTTCAGTCATTCAGTCTTGAGATGATAATTCGGAACAACACTGGATAAAAGTAAGAGAAAAACGACCGAGTCGCTAACACCGGCCAATTTTCCCATAGAAATGCAAAGTTAGGAAATTTTCCACTGGAGCATTAGGCGTTTGAAGATGTCACTGATATTCAAGGATTGAAAACACTTGTCTCCAAAACGCCCTTATAACCGAAGGATTCCAAACTCAATCAAACAAAGTGGCAGAAATGAAGGAGTTTGAAAATATATTTGGTAGGTAGTCATTGTGGCGATCAGTGTTTGATCTGACCAGACTTGTTGTTGCGGGGGATGAATGGAACTGCGTAACCAATGTCAATCTGGTACGTATACATGGACAGGTATACTCAGCGACATTGCATCTAGTAAAACTGGTGAGATCATCACCGATGTCAACGACTTATAGAACTATTTATTTTTGCGGTTTACTTACCGCTCAAATTAGCTGCGCCTGATGATATTTTAAATAAGGGAATATTTGCATCCCTTCATGTAAGGATGTAGTTTAATACCACTGCTCTACCAAGACGAAATGAGCCAAAAATGTTTCCTGAACAAAAGTTGTCATTAGTTTTGCTCCAAATAAACGGAGTATACGATAGGATTTATTGGGCGTCAATCATAACTATGCAAGTAAATAAACTTCTGAGTAGACAGAGATTAAAAGAGATTAGTGGACTTCATTGAAAGCTCATCGATATTTATGGATAAGTGACTCAAAGGAAATAAATTAATCTGTCATTCAGTGTTCGGAGGTCGAATTGTTTATACTTACTTATACGTAGGTCACTGGGAATTTAGAAACTTCGCGAATCATCAACGATGGGGAAGGACTATTACAAGATTCTTGGTATATCTAAAGGTGCAAATGACGATGAAATAAAGAAAGCTTATAGAAAGCAAGCGCTTAAATATCATCCTGATAAGAACAAGTCTCCAAACGCAGAGGAGAAGTTCAAAGAGATTGCGGAAGCGTACGACGTAAGTGTTTTTTTCCCAATGAGTTTCTCGTATTAGGTTTTATCCGATCCTAAGAAGAAAGAAATATATGACAAATATGGTGAGGAGGGACTGAAGGGTGGACCTTCTTCGAGCGAAGGTGGACAAGGCTACACTTACACTTTCCATGGTGACCCACGAGAAACATTTAGGATGTTCTTCGGCACGGATGACCCTTTCTCGGGGTTTTTCACATCAGGAGGTAGGCGTAGTACCGTAGGAGAGCCTATGAACGTCGATGATTTCTTTGGCAGCACACCTTTTGGAGTAAGTTGCACTTACATTCAGCTACATATTGTCGTTTATTTTCGTTAGTTTATATTGTATAAACTTATGTTAAGTCCATGATTTTTAACCTTTCATTTCTCAGATTGATAATGAAATAAGCATCTCAGGGTTACAGATAGAAATACATACTTTTCAGGCCAGTTCGAGCTTTTGTCTACGAAAAGTAGACACCCTTTAAGTAACTTTAGACTGTGTTCGCTGTCCATTAACGAAGTTACAAGACTAGATTTTGTTGCCATAATCCGTAGTATAATATTTAAGTTAAGGAATAATTAACAGTCTGCAGTGTTCATTGGACAGCTAAGTAAAGTTGGGAAAACTGAACGATCCATCCAGTCACATTGGATTTAATTTTGTTCTATTATTTGAGTTTCAATTTGTTTGTTTCAAAGCGTTCATACATAAGGCTTGCGGTTTTTTACGAACCATCGAGGTGTTTAATCTATATGCTACCAATGTAGGATATTTAGCACGATAAGGAATTGTTTGTATAATCATTGACATTGTGATTTGTCAGGATTTGCCCTAGTTTTGTGTTGAATGATTGCATTTAAGGATCTGTTGATTATGCACAAGTGACTAAAGAATCCACAAGATTATCTGGCATATAAAAATAAGACCTGTAATCTATGAAATTTCTAACCAATGCTAATCACATTGACGGTATACTTTTTGGTAAGCGTTTTTATCGTTATGGTCGATGATCTGAAGCTCATATGTTATTACTTATGCGACCAACAACCTCATTACAACCAAAACATGCTTTGGGACAAAATAAGCTCAAAAGTGTTATAATGGACGCTCTCTTCGTATGCACCATTCGAAACGATCGATCTGAGATTTATCTTTGGACATACTGTTCAAAGTAGTGATAGTGACTTGTCACGTTTGTTATAAACTAACGATAAGTAATCTCTAGTGGTTTAGTGGGTGACTACTAAGCTTTGTTCCTTGTTTTCAAGCCGACAACAATTCTCTACTAAGGCGTCACCAGCATAATCTGGCGAAAATGTGCGTCGGCCTATGTTGCCTAACCATGTTAGCACAGTAAAATGAGATTACCAGCTTGATTGACAAAAATTATTATTTTATTCATTTATTTGAACACATAGATGGTGGTACAAGGAGGCACCAGATACATATGCTCCACATAAATCTCATTTGATTTGTGTGAGGGCTGTGATACTGCCCGGATGCATAAACTAACGCAGGTTGATTAACAAAAGTCAAAACGTTGTAGCAATAATAATGACAACTAAATATTCAGAATGGGGTTTTAAAATATGGAGTGCAAACGTATGTTTTAAGGCATATTAGACTTTCAAATCGACTGGAAGACAAAGACTAAATGTATCTAAGACACCACAGATCTTAAATCAGATCACCAAAAGTTTCCAGCCACTGGTCGCGAGTACCACTCGAGCTTCTAAAGTCAGCGAAGTATTCAGCAAACCTAACTACTTCACCACCTTTGTTAGTTTGGGCGTTGATGTAGACCGGTCTTAAGGCAACATCGTAAACTTGCTTGCTTTGTTGTTCGAGGTGATCAGATGAATCTGAATTTGACCAGCATTTTTACAAAACAGAACCATCAGGTGTTTATTCCAAGTCGATAAACGAATCTCATCGTAGACCAAGTGAAAGGTTCAGTGAAGAAAGTGTTACTTGCGGGAGCATGTGTATGACAAAACTAAACGAGAATCGAGACAGTCGACATCCCCAACGGATACCACTTGATATTATCAATCCTGATGACAATTCGCCACAAGCTCCGACCATACCAATGGTGTTTGAATAGAGAGTCTTTGGTGCTCCTTTTAGTGCCAAGCAGTCACCAAACCGCTCGGTCAGCGGAGTTGTGTGGTGTCTTAAGGTCAAGGATTACCGCTAGAGAGAATCCTTAGTGGACTCAAACAGAACTAGATAAAGTGATTGTCATTATTTGGGACAGCATTCTATTTCCAACTTGGATTTTTGCTGAAATACTAGAATGTAGTATGGTGATTTGTGTCATGAAACAATGATGTTGGTTAGATAACCTAAGCTGCGTGTGTATCGAAGTTGAGTGAACTGAGGGAATGTGTTGGTGTGGTTGACACGGTGCAGGTAGTTGTTCACCAAATAACCTGACAGTCTCATGCAGTCGCGACCCAGTGGTTGGATCTCAGACCGAAAAACCTTGACTCGTGGAGTGGTAACATTTTTCTCGTATCTATAAGTCCTCATACATTTTTAAGTGACTTGTAAATTCTATTGCTTCATTTTTTACGTACGTCTTTTCATTAGGGTTTCTTTGAAACTAGAAATGTCAGCACGACAGGTGGTCGAAAACCTCAACAGGATCCTCCAATCTATCATGACTTGTCAGTTTCGCTTCAAGACGTTCTTCATGGAACGACTAAGAAAATTCGTATTACGAGAGCTCGTTTGAATCCAGACAGACAAACCACTCGTCAGGAAGAAAAGACGGTTGAAATCGAAGTTAAAAAAGGTTGGAAAGCTGGTACAAAAATCACGTTCCCTCGGGAGGGTGATGAGAGTATTAAAGGCAATGTTCCTGCCGACGTTGTTTTCGTTGTTAAAGATCGAACACACAAACATTTCAAGCGTGAAGGTAGCGATGTACGTTATGTGGCTAAAATTAGCCTAAAACAAGCTCTTTGTGGGGGTACTATCTCGATACCAACAATCGATGAAGGACAAATAAACATCCAACTCACTGAAATTATCAAACCTGGGACAACCAGACGTATTCCACATCAAGGTCTTCCCTTTTTGAAGGAACCTAGTCGCCTTGGCGATATGATAGTTGAATTTCAGGTCGTTTTTCCAGATTACCTATCAAATTCGCAGAAATCCCAGTTAGCATCAATATTACCCAACTAACCATGCAAGTTAATTATTGAAAAGATGTGAACTAAAACTTGATTTTAGAAGCTGTAATTGTTTTTCTGCCATAGTATGTATATATCAGTTTTCCTAAAGTTACTAGTCCATCTTGCCTTCCCTGTACGTGAAGTAAGATCGAATAAAGACTGGTGGTGAACATTTTTAACTGGAACGTCGGATTTCACAGGCATCCGTGAACCATGTATTCGAAAGTAAATCTACACAATAGTTTCTCGAAGGTTCAGACCGACGTTTTATTGTTTTGTGTTTATATCCCCTCAGACTCTCCAGCTACATTGTGACGCTTGCTGGCAGCAATTGGTAGAGATTTATGTCTCTGGTAGCAATGAAATACTTTGGTTTCCCCATGCAAGACCTGTACCACATATAAGGACACCAATTGTCTGTATACTTGCAGTGCCATCATTTGTTTCCTAGAGAAACAACTTACACCATATGCGACGGTTTCCAAGCGTAATAAATAGCCATTTTCTCAACTCTTCAGGCAAATCGCTTTTGCTCTTACGTTTTTTGGTCTTTTACCCCGAGTGGCTAGTCAGTTATCTAAACGCAGGGTCTAATGACCTACACTGCTCAGTTTGCGTTGTATAAACCATTAACATACTGCCGCTATCTATGATTCAACTCGAATTCTGAATCCCAGATTTTGAGATGGATCTCACTCATATAGCAGGATTACTCTTGTTACAACTAGACCGGTCAAAATAAACAAGAAAGCATCGAAATTCTACATGGCATCAAAAGTTGTGCTAGCTTTATGATCAGTAAACAATATAGAAAACAGTCGGATAGTAACTGTAAATGATAAAAACTGTACGGAAGAGTAGTCTATAATCTGTCAGCTATATTTATGCTCAAGATCTTATTAGTCCTTATGTACGCGATTCACTAATAACGGGGTATTTAGACATACTCAACTGGTAAGGTGAAGCACTTTTGTTCTGTGAAGATCGGGTACACAATAAGCTGGCTAACGATAATCACGAGATTATTGCAAAATGATAACGAATGAAAAAGTGTTACTAATTCCACGATCACAAGTGTTAGGTAGCTTGTAAGTCATATTTGTTTGGTTCCTAATTGACAAGAATCACTGACCGAACAACCGATAGGATATGTAAGATTTCGTCGAGATTAACAAAAGCAGAATTTCAGGTTGAATCACACTGTAAAGAGATGTGTTTAGTAGTTGTAGATTGCAACACAATAAGTCGGTTATATTTTCAGCTACAAAATGCTGGGAAGGCGTTTTCAGATTATCTACATTTATTTGTTCGGTCAGTTACCTGTAGAAGTATTTTTAACTCCTGATCAAAATTATCTTAACGGTAACAAATTCGTTTATCTGACCACAACCATCTATTGTGACTGAAATACTGGGTTCTTAGAGCTGTAATCATTTCGAAACAACATTTCCCAAATATAAGTACGGAATTTAGCCGGCATTAACGTTACACGATTGTAGTATTATACGGTAACCCAGTTTAACTAATTAATGGCCACTTCTTTAAAAAAGAAAACAGAGCGTGATACTGAGAACTTCCTCGTTGATTCAGTAAAATTGAGTATATTTGTGCCATTTGTTTTTCTAAAACGATTTATTTCGATATGAACTGATCGAACAAGTTGAAAGCCTACTTTTAATACTGTGACAAGCTCTGCAAGGCCATTATTAAATTTGGCTTTTTAACAAATAACACGCGCCTCGATTATTGGTTTTATTCGAATGTACCGTTATGGAGATTTCGAACACTTGAGCGTAGGTATTTATGGCAAGTTGTACGTTTTCGGAACCAAAATTAGTTCCATTTAATCCTAAAATACTTTCTCTCTTGAATTAGTGTCCTCCATCGTGACACCAACTGTGATAAATAGTAGTTGTTATTGTAGTGAACCTAATGTACGCACCAGCAATCTCTAGATCTGTTCAAATATGCTTTACCAGTCACGAATGGGATATTATTTGAGTATGAAATAAAACCACGAAGATATTGCTTAGTAATCAGAATAAAGCGCACAATAACGTGCAACGCAATTATCAAGGACAACAATATTTCATAACAATCAGAAGCCATCTGTAGACTAAATATCTTGATTCTAGGATCTGAATCTATAGATCAAGATAGTATAGAATACGCAGAAAATGCGATTCCTGAGACCATAACTTCAAATAAAATTAGTGACTCACTGAAATTTAAGAACTTAGTGAAGGTTTTTATGGTTAGTAGATACAAGTTAGGGGACTCTAAACCAAGAGGTACCAACTATATATGTACGCAACAATCTCGTTTACGTCACTTTAGTCCGAACATACGGCTAAGAAAAGATCCTTCAACAAAATCCCTTATCTATAAAATTGAGAATAGTACAACCTGATACTTGATTTTCTATTCACTCAAAAAATACTGGATGGAGTATGAAAGTAATAAAAAAAGAACAGTAACTCCTGGAATATCATAGAAAACAAAACAGCTAAGTTAGTCACTAAGAAATTCAACCGATAGGGAAGCTAAGGTTTCTGCTAAATATTTGGAATAAATGGTTGATTTTAGGAAAACCAACAAAATGGTTTGTTTTGCTTACTCACTATTTCGTTTCGATCAAAATATCGTACCTATGTGGTCGAGAAATATACCAGTTAACTTAATGAATTTAGCTGTAGACATTTAAGAAGTCGACATCGATCATGGGCGATTTAATGCTAACACTGTTCCCACTACATTCGAATGTCATCGGTTTGAATACACATAAAGTAAGAGTGACTTGTCGAGCAGTACCAAAGAACGACTGTCCAGTGTTCGATGCTTTCCAAAAGTCTAGGGACTTATATCCTTTGCGAAAATAATCTTCGAAATAATTAGGACTCCGTAAAATCGTTCAATTCTATCACTGTAGTATTAATATCGTCTGATTTCAAGCATGAATAAATATTAGGGTGATAGCCGCAACGCAATATTAGTATTCTGCTAGGTACGTTGTTATTGAGCACTAACGATGCACCAGTAAGATGACGGTTTTAGTTTGCCAAATGTAAATTAGATCTTGTAACTCTGACAAATTTGAAATCACCATTTTAACAGTAAACTATAACCGCAAATTTACGGATAATTGAATGAGGATACTGGATATGAGAGAGCACTGTATAAAAAAACGACCTTAACCCTTCAAAAGTAGAAAGCGCTGACTTGTAGAACTAGAATGCAATTTTTAATTGGTAGACGATAACGGCTGTAAAACCAGTGCTAAGGCGAACTGGGGAGGCGTTTTGTGTCATTTTACGGGAACTTGGAACAAATTTCTTGTGGCTAGGTTGATATCTTTCGAATATTGAGTCAAATGCTACTACTGGTGATTAAAACCAACCTCGCGATGACTTATACCCGTTGGTTACATTAAATGAACATTTGTTTGATTGGTCAAATTACTTGTCATTTTGCATAACATCAATTTTTCTAGGCATTTTTGTGCATATACACCATAAATCGGTAGTATCTTGAGTTTATCACTATCCCAAACACTCACTGTTTATAGTAATAAAGGTTGTTTTTAAAAACTTTGAATAAATTCAAGATCAATACATACGATAAACTAACCAATGCATGTTTTAATTTAAGGAATGAAAGATGAATTCGACAACAAAAATCAAATGACTTTCAAACGTAAGTTGTTAAGGTACATTGAAGAACATGAACATGAAAGAGAAAAAAGTTGTCGTTTTGATTTTACGTATTTACATTCTTATTATTCATATTTACAAAAAATACTCATGGTATCGGTAAATATAGTTTTAGATAAAAAATCCAATTCAAAAAGTGGTAGATCATCTAATAAAGTAGTGGAAGGTTGACATTTATCAAAATATGGGATCAGTTTAGAATGAGCAGTTATCGATTGTTGCAAAGTTGCAACTCTGTGAACAGTACAAAGTACAGGATTAGCAATCACTTGATCCTAACGAAAGTATACGCAAAGATAAGACGAAAGAACAAAATATTTTTTAGTTATATTTTTTTGCACTCCTGGTTTTACAGGGCTTTTTGTTTATGCTATACAATTATTACAATAAATGGTGGCAGAACGAAAAAACTGGATAAGATGTAGGGAAATACACATGTCAATGTTATGGTCAGTCGATTTATAGCATCGATGATATACAATAGGTAAGCCATTTATTTGCCAAAGTATATGCCCTCATTTATGCTAAATGATTATGTATATACATAAATACACACTAGCTGTGTTGCTTATTCAAACTAACATTTCTTCCGACCAAACGCTTAAATCGGTTTCCTAAGCTCTCCTTATAAACCCCAGGTTAAATATAAGCAACGTGAACACGAGAGAAACGGCGTGCAGTGTGAAAAAAGTTTTACTTCAAGGTTAGCTTGTTTATATAGAAAATTGAGGGTATTTCAGATGGCCCTGAGCTTCCGGAACTATATTGAACATAGTAGCAGAATAGGTAATCATCCGATAAGAAGTGTGACACGTGAATTTCCACTTTAGATTATTCTGAGAAACTCCTACCCAGCGCTGATGGGATAAAAAATTTTCCAGAGTTTCCAGGGCCCTTCTGGACATTTTGGAGAAACGCTTTGGATCTCAAACACAAACATACGGAAATCGAAGCTTCTTGAGCAGTTTTTTCCTATTTAATTATTTTTGTTGCTCGGACATCAAGAATCAGATTGTACATTGATAGTTGAGTGTGTAGTAAATTTTCTATTCTAGGCTGACTTAGAGGTCTCATCAATAACATGACATTGGCTTGTTATGTATGTAGTGTCCCTACTCGATTTGAAAAACACATTTGTTCAGGTATCAAATTGGAAGGTTGGGCTCGCAGAATTATCCCATAGATATTTTATCCCCTAGAAATAACCCTTCGGTGATTTTCACTGTTTGTCAATTTTTTTTTATCACAGAATCAAGTTGATATCTGCTACAGGGATTTCCAATTCAATATTTTGACATTTTAAAATAGACAAAGAAACCCTAATTAGGGTCCGTAAAACTACATAATTATTTTCTGTCCCTTGAAGTCCAAGTGTTTATTTTTGCACATATCGTCTATAATGAGGGCTAACAAAAAATTCAACTGTACGTACATGGGGTAAAGTACAAGGATTTAATCTGGGTTGTAGGTAATTTTACTAGCTGAATTATTTTGTACGTAACACTCATATGTATGGACGATGCGTTTGATGTATCATAAACTGCAGTCATTCAACTTAAACTTAATGGAAATGTTAAACTATGAACATGAACAGAATTTATAATATTAATTAATCATGTGAATTAACATGTACATTTATTCCTGCTAACTACTTAAATAGTAAACAGTAATTAGAAGATGAAAAGTTTCCAACTTACCAAAGACATACCAAATGGTCTTGATAAAAGGTATACTATTTGTAGTACTAAAAGAAATGGATTTTTGATAGACCAGTGATAAAGATTCATTAAAAACTGTTTGCTGCAATACACACTAAATGGATCACATCCAGTACAAGTAAATATTGTAGGTATAGTGGATGAAGTTGTGCTTGTTTCACTAAAGCGACGAAGAAGATGGTGATATTCACGAATAAATAATAACATACATAATTTGGAATTCGCATATTGTCTCATACTGTCATGCAATAATGTTGGGGTTGTCTGAAACATCTTTGTTATATTCAGTTTCTTAATACAGTGTTGTAAATTACTCTCTCTAAAAAATAAATTCATTTGAATAAAATATTAAGCGTCAAATGATAGAGTTCAGACTGGCAAACAAGGTTATGGATACTAAGACATAATTAAATGTGCAATGGCTGATAAGCATTGTATCTGGACGTTTAGACGCCGACTCCCTAGTCCCTAGAAGTCTCTTAATCTTGATACCAAAATAGAAATCGGGAAGCATAGGAGAACCTGCACTCCGAACGCGAAATTATGTACAAGGGTAGGTATTTTTTAGGATTATGGGTGACCTTGATGCTTTGGAAAATCGAAAGAATGGTAATAGTCAGTCAGTCAAACCCAACATACAACCTCGTATACAGGTACATCGGTCGGCGTTGCCATAAACCATTAGTACTGTAGTATGAAGCTGTTAGGGCAAATCACAGAGTAGTAGAGGTAGTAACAGTATTAGAAGTAATAGAAAACATTATGCACCGGAGATACGACCCGAAATAAAATACAAATAATTGAAATATAGAATTATGGTGAATTTATAAACTCAGGATCTAAAGAAAGAATGCAAACGATTTTGAGCCATAGAATATATGGGATGTGATTAGCAGCGGAATCCAGGACGCTTATCCTGTCTGATTTGGGACTCGTCAGTTAAGTGTACGTGCAACCCATATTTGATGTTCACTCCGAAACTTGAATCTAGTACCGCTTGCTTTAAACGCCATTGCGTTATCCACTAAGCTACCGAGTCCAGACAGTCACTTATGCAACGGATATAATATCAAACCTGGGATCCGGGTACACCAAACTGATGAGTCCCAAATAGGGCAAAACAAGCGTCCTGGATTCCACTGCTATTCACATTCCATCTATTCTTTAATAACGTGCGTCGTAATGGCTATATCAAGGCAATCCGCATAGGATGACTAAAAATGATCGGATTCCAGTCACAAATATCAACAACGGAATAACACGAACCATTGCAAATAGAATTAATTTTTGAGTCATATTATTTAGAGTACCTAGTCACTAGTAGCAATGATCACGTAGACCCCAAGCAGGTAGTTAACACTTGCCAACACGGTTCATCACATTTGTCGCTGACCTAATAGACCAGTACTGTTTTGATATGGCCGCCCCTAGCTTTCTTGCAACCTATTCCTACACCAGACAACATACCTATCAAGGTAGAAGGTGGTTGGGCATATATAACACAAGTCCTAACCACCTCAGTTGGTGATGATTCACTACAAAACCAATCGATTTCCCGTATTTACCTAGTACTGCGTACCTAACCTTGCCAATCTTCACTCAGTGGTCCCAAAGTACACGACGGGTGCTCTTAAGACACATAATCAGATACTAGCGAGATCTTTCGAAGCGCACCTTCTAGCACTACTCAAGTTCAATCAATAGATAATATACAGAACATCTCGTGAACTCTATTCACGTTACCCAACCAGATACACTTTTCAAAGTCAGTCATAATCAAAAGAAGTGTCTCGAAGGGAATACAAACTAAAAACGTTCATACTTCTCCAGTTTAAAGTTAAACACCACTTTTGCTTTCATTGTACCGTGAATCACAACCTTATTTTTATTTTCTGTGCTCAATAATCAATTGCTATTACTTCTTTTTTTTCAGATTAATTGATCAAATTTTATTACGGAAATCAATTGCTTTTTGTTAATGTTCGTCACAAGAACAACAAGCCTTCATCTAAAAACTATTTTCATTTTACTATTCCTTCATTATCCATGAACTTCATCATATAATCTCCTTTTCGATATTTAGGAACAATTTATGACCTAATGTCATCCTATGTTCCAATTATTTTTAAATTTAAACACAAACATTGGTACAAGGAAGCACCAAAAAGATATGCACCACATAAATCATTCAATTTGTATAAAGGCTGAAATACTTCCCGGGTGCCCAAACCGAAACAAATGGTTGTCTTAGGGGAACACACACATGGAGAATTAGTGCATATTTTCTATCAGATAAGTATTAGACACTTGAATCATTGTTTTCTTATATTCTCATGCTTTTACGTTTTTGTTGGGTTCATAATTCACTGTACTGTGTTGTGCCTTCCTTAGGTTACTGTGAGTTTACTACAGAATTATTAATTAGATCTATTTCACTTATGGTGTAGCCCTGCGTACATTGTATTTTCCTTTTTATGCTGCTATGCATTCAAGCAACTAGTATGTATAGTCGCACGAATTTTGAGTTACAAACTAAACTGTACAACAAGTTTATCTGTCTGTCGTACTTTCGTTCCATTCTGTTTATCGGACAGAAGAGCGGGGGAAGCTGCACCCTGGAACAATAGGAGTTAAGTACTGATCTCGGTAGTTATCTTACTGTTATTGAGTTATTGTTCAAAAGAAGGTTACTGAGTCATTAGTCGATGGAAGGTCATCCGACCTATACAACCGATCTAGCTTAAATAATAATACAACTAATTTCATGATAGAACGCCCGATCATACGAGCCCGGTTACGACACATGTGTCTGGTCACTTAGTTAAGCCTAAGAAACTAATTATCACAACGTGTAGGCCAGTTCTCAGAAGTATTACAAGCGTGCAAATTAAATTATATTAGTTCATAAAATAAATATATTTACGTACAGTAGTTTCTAATAGAAACTGCAATTATTTATTTAGAACATATAAATACTGATGCAAATGCGCACCATAATAAGTATATGCTACACAAATAAGGAAATGAAATTTTAAAGAAATAGAAGAGGAAGGAGGCTGAGTATAATCAAAAATAAAAAGTGGACCGTAGTAGTATGACATGGAAAACAGTTCAGACAAAAAAACAACTAGAAAGAATTCATTTAAGTTAGGTAGTTTTTCTTACTTTTATAAAGAATGTAAAAGGAATCCAAAGCAGAATCGCCACCATTGATTCGCATTCTGAATTATATCTGATAACGTTTAAAACCGGAGTTGCACTATCTCTAGGACCACAACGGAGGAGATGTGTTAAAATGAAAGGTGCCAGTCTTTTACAACTTTCATATCACAGTTCCATGTTATGATCTAACCATCTAACCTCTTTCTTCACCTGGAAATAATTGCACGAAGTGGGAACTGTTGGGATGACGATCCTAAAAAATCTACAAGTAACCGTGGCCAGTGTTTCAAGTTGGTGACAGTGACTGAATTAGTCACTGCTGAATCTTAACATCACTAACATAGTGTTGCCAGTGGATGCAAGTGATCCTTCAAGACAATAATGATCGAATAGAGACCAGGTTTCACACAACTGGAGCAAAATCGCTGTTACTAAAGCGTTGAAAACCCAACATTTTACAGCCAAACTGACACCACAATGGAACCAAACATGACCCACATTGGCACGGACCGTCCTGGCTATCACTAAATGCAATGCCAGCAATATTGTTTTTTGGAAAACTCCGTCCACCATCTAAGACATTGCGGTATGTTACTGATCGGTGTTCCATCAACTTTACATATTGTTTCACTCGCAAAAGACTACCTGCTGCCAGCGGTTCGTACGAGTTCATGGTGCTTTCAATAATTACCAGTTTCAGCTGCTGCTTTTAACCCGTCAGCACGATCCACTCACCAAGTTTCTCACAAACTTTGCACAATTTCCTTATCGTCGAACGCACAGTTAGCCGGAGTAAACCAACGAGCCTGTGTAAACGCAGTGCTTATAAACAAGACGTTTAGAAAAGTCATAAGAAATGTAACCCGCCATTTCCATGGTGTTATGTAAGCGAAGCCAATGCTCATGTATATTTTTTGATGGACTAGCGGCTTGCCTTGATTCTAGGCTCAGTCTGACCTTTGGTTGCAGCAGAGGCCACAGATGATTCGCTTACATCAACCCGTTTAGGATGGGAAGTTCGAGGGCCACAAAAACCTAACTAGGCATAAATCAAAACATAATTAAAGTCTAGATAGTTTTTCCAACAATAAACCACAGTCTTGTGAAAAATAATGTCAGCGGTAGCTGGCCGCGATGTAATCGGTCTTAATCTAGGCTTAAGAAGCAGACGGAGGACGCCAACTAGTAAGTCGGCGACGACTGTACAGAAAGTTGGTGTTGACCAGAAATTTATTAGTCTGCGCAAAGCTTCAGAAGACAGTAACTGTTATCTGACGTGAAACCAATGTGTTTCCATTGGCCACTCAAGAGACTTCTATCTGTGCTTAGACGCCCGATCTGTGGATTCAGATACCCTGCTAGTACTACCTTATCTGCAGAATATACTTTCTTGAGACCATTCAACTGGTAGTACAAATTATTCTTGACTGCTCCCTGGATGCAATCAGTCGAGGCGTAGGCGAAAATTGTGGAAAAACATCGTTTTTCACAAGTTTCTCCTTTTGGTAAAATTTGTTAATCCAGCAGTACAAAAGTGAATTTTAGCAGGGATCCGATGGATAAGTTCCGTCATTTTTCTGAAGCTTAATGTAGCGTCAACATCACCCACACTAAACGGAGATGCCGTAGGGTCCCCGGATAAACAGATGGGAAGTAAATTTGAGGTACTTCGCTAGAGTCCTGAGTACGGGTCTCTAACATAAAGTGAACACTAATCTCAGGGCTTTCCCAAGACATAGCCAAACGTACCAGTTGTCCAATCTGCATCGATGTACGGTTGTTGAAGTTGGACATTTTGAATACCACACAAGGTTTTAGACTCCATATTAGTTAGCGGCATTAAAAGTTAGACCAGTCGGCCATCTGAATTCTTTAAGACAAGATAGATTTTTCATTACAAACGAGCTGTTGCGTCAGTGAAGAAATAAAGACTATTGCCAATTCGAAGGACCAGACCTAAGAATGCTACCTCAGGTATCATGTAAATAACGTAAGACACAAATACAAAAAGATTTAACTTTTATTGATGAATATGGCATTTCGTAATTGTCTTCATGGTTTCTGTTCAGTAACGGACGATCACTGATATATAAATATAAAACTAGGCTACTGTAAACAATTGTTAACTTATTCTATTATAACTTTTCACCAATAACTCGAGCGTTATTTGTTAGTAAACAATAAACATCTATAAATTATTTCACAGTGAAGCTTACTTGTGAATCTCTGATGAAACTATCACCACACGCAAAGTTGAGCTGTCAAATGTTTTGTCTGACGAAGTAGTTGAAAGAGAAGGTAAAGAATCAAATCTTGCTTTTAACAATCGTTCCAAAAACAAGGCAGGAGCTAAATAATTGCATTGCATTGATACTTCAAATCCGTCAGAAGTTAAATACGGAAAATGTTTAGAAGAACACTCACATGAATAAGCAGGAATCCATGCAGGAATTATCTTTTTCCCAAACCAATTGAATACTTGTATTTCATAGTTTGTTACAAACTTAAAAATAGATTGAAACCAGGATGAAACTTTAGACGGAATCATTTCACGCAAACAAGACACTATCCTACAATCAAAGTAAATACAAAACGAAGTAGGAATTAGGCAAGTTTATTTTAAAAACCGTGTGATTAAAATGAAAACCACCTAAATAAACCTTCTTCACTAGACATAATAACTAATGATAATTCGAAAAATAAAGGAAACGACAACTACTTACCAGGCTATACAGTTTTTATTTATTTATTTGGACACATAAACACTGGTACAAGGGGCATCAAGTACATATGCGCCACACAGTGAGGCCAGTAGTAGTTATTATGATTTTTATGAGGGCTGTGATACTTCCCAGGTGTCCAAACCGAAACAAATGGTTTTCTTAAGGAAACACACTTGGAGCCTTTGATCTGGAGGTCTAATACAAAAGGCAGCGGGGCAACGTCAGGAGATGCAGTCCCATGGTAGCCGGTGACCAACGATATGTTCATACGCCATTTGTTCCCTCAGGATCACGGAGCCCATATACGCCATCGGTTTGGAATCAGGGTTTTCTAACTCTCCTAGGTGGACTTTCCGTGTCCACCAACCCGGTTAAAGCACCAGACATTCGCTTTTCATCTTCTCAATTTCGTAAACAACACTCCCGTCACGAGGATGCAGTGAGCAGGACTTCCCTGGTAGTGGCTGTATACGTGTGGTTACGTGAAAGTATTTCGAGGAGTAGCGGACTTTCCCCATTCTCGGTCGTACCAGGGCATTTGGGGGCAGGCTATACAGTAAAGTATTTATGAAATTTTTTTGTAATAATAGATTTTATTTGAAATCTCTTCTGCAAAAAGCTTTTAGTATAGCATAGATCAGCGATGAAAATACATTTTTAGCAATTAATTAAGTGTATTACCAAGACTACTGCAATTTAAAGAACTGACTACTAACCCATTATAATATACACCAGTCTCTTCGAACTACGAAAATGAATGCTACTGCTAATCTTTACTGTACAGATTCTGTATTACGTTTAAGTATATTTCAGTCAGTTATTCAGCGATAATATAGAACATGAAAAAACTGCCGAAATGTGCATCAGTGAACTACGAGGAAATGATAGTGTTATAAATGTTTGCTGAAATTATATCGTTAATATGAGCTACGGATACATAGTTTTACATTGAAAATCCTATGGTTCGGAAAACCTAGTATATGGACCACAATAAAACTTAGACTAACAACAACAATAACAGTTACCTTGTAAAAGATTGAAAGAAATTCCATCCAGCGAAAGGAGGAAGCAAATCATCAGTTATGATACACGCATGAACAGGCCAGTTCAATGACTGTAATATCTACAGTTTAAAGAAAAATATTTCACTGAAAAAAGTGAAATATAGTTTAGTCTGAGAGTAATTTTTACCATGAACAGATATTTGCTGTAAAAAATGAACTGCTGTTTTGTCTGAGTGGTGTGCCACCATGAGTCCATATATGTTCGAATTCAACACTATTAGATCTTACGAAGAACATGTGACCCAATGAGTTTTGAATGAATAGTTTTCATGTCGGTTAGTTTGCAACACAATATGAATTACCACTTTAACTTCAATTTAGTTAACCGTATAGCTCATGAATTCTACATAGAACTTCAGGAAATGACTCGTGAATTCAGACAAAAGAACAAACTGGCTTTTTATTGATCAATGATTTTTATTTCTTTATTAACTGATGTCGATTATTCATAAAAGTTACTTTTAAATTGTAAAAAATCTTCATAAAAACAACTAATAATTTAATTTAACTTCAGAATTTAAAAGATGAATATTATGAGAAAATATCAAAATATTGATGTAAAGGATATCCAGAAAATCTGTATAGAAATGTTACATCTAAAGGTTTCATTTTAGTGTGTCTGTATTCTAGTCAAGCCACCCCTGTAGCTCGAAGATAGGAAATTTCATTAGTAGCTAGTGTCGTAAATGGTCGTAACTACTTCACCATTTTGTTATCTACACAAGTCTATCATCTTAGACCTTCTCTATACGGAATATTTGAAAGACTGAAGATTTTTCATCGAATAAATGACCATTTAACAACTCACACGAACGGATTGTACGATGCTATGTAATTCCAAAGGATTATACGGTATCCAATACAGTTGACCTGATTCTTTATTAACTGACTTCAAAGTTAAGTCTACAGTGATACTGCCTTCATAATATGCCTTTGTTTTGTCAAATACAGCAATAGCATTTTCTGGACATTTAGTACAAGCGCATATAACAGTAGCTCCATACTGGACGAGATGAACTGCGATTGATAAACCAAGACCACAGCCTGAATTTGTTACAACAACGTAAAACCCACGGAGATCTTTATTTAATAAAATCTACAACAACAGAAGAAAATATTCTCAAATTATCATGAAAACAAAATGATTAATATTTTTTAAAAATATTCATACTAAACTCACTGTTATTATATTTGGATAACGAATCCTAAAGTATAAGTTATAGAGTGAGAATTATTATTTTCTCGTACAATTTCACACCAAGTATTACGTCACTGTAGTGTGAATTTATTAACACATGAAACCAATTTGCCAAGTAAAGGTCTATGTACTTGAATTCGAACCAATTTCTGTGCGATTGCTATTGATAGCATCCGGGTATCCACACTGAAGTAGCTACAGCAGGACTAGGACAGACAACAACGTGGTCAAAAGTCGCTTAGTTGAACGCCAAATCACCATTCCATCAATTCTAGATAGTTATCAATAATTTTTAATAATTGCTTTTCACTTCTTCAAAGCGGTATAGACCGAACTATGCGTTTGCAGTCTAGTATCTTGGTTTAGTTTGGTCGACTTGAAATCATATTCATTCTTATATTAATCCAACCAACATTACAATAACTCGTCACTTTTAGTTAGAACTACGTAGTTAACTCCAACAATACTGGTTCTTATTTAATATATGTAGGTAGTGTCAAAAATATGGACAAGATCTTTGGTATCTCTCTTCGGTCCTGATACCTCAGGGGGAAAACGTTACTTTTGATCGGTCAGGTCATTCTAAGAAAAAATAAATGAAGAGCCAGTCATTCTACTAGACTATTAATGAGAGTTTATTTAAAATTTTCGATAGAGTACGGAGACGGAGTTGATGCCCAAAAATTCGATGTTTTCGCGCCGTACATTTTGAACAGTTCTCCCTTGGGTATTGCAACCAAGCTCCTAGGTCGTCAAGATCACCCCTAATTCAGTTTCCTTTTCAAGTACCTCACGAAGAAGTTTTCCACTATGTGGGGGACCGGGAAGTGACAACCCCACTTACACTCAAACATAAATCTAGATCATCTATCATAGAACCAGTCCTCTTCTTTATTAACTAGTATTTCTTTTGTTTGCTTTATCAATCTTTATCTCGGGAAGAGCAAAAGATAAGGTTTACAGAAAGCGTTCTGACTTTCAGGCGCTCGTAGCAGGTTATTTTAACACTCAAGTGATAGGCTAAATCAAACAACGGCGACCGTATTTCCCAATGAATTTCGAACATGTTATTCGTATAACGTACAAACTTTAAGCACTGAAAAGGACACCATTTAACTTAGCAACCCCTAACATCAATACAAACATGATCATAATTAGACCAAATCGTCACCAGACATTGCTAGAAGCTCGATGGAAGACCGTTACCCCTTCTCGAGCATATGATTCGACTTAGACTATGTTCTACGCATTTTACTGGACACAAAATTCATAACAGGAAGATCCCTTACGTACCAATTCTTAGAGGGATTAATAAAGCAAGTAGTTGAACTTCATCCTGAAGTTTGTCATATGTAAACAGCTATAAAAAAGCAGTGATATCCGCCACCAATTCAAATCAAAAGGTTAAGAAAGATCAGTGGGTTTTGTTTGCATCTACTGAGTAGATAAATACTCGGAAACCCATCCCTTCAGACCTGAAGAACAATGAAGAGCAACCAAAACTCAAACGTAAACATAAAAGGGTTTACCCAATAACCGTGAGTAGTGGTGGGAAAGTTAAGCAGAAGAGATGTAAACGGCTGTAGTGTCAGGTAATACTAGGCAACTTTCCAGACCTACTAAAGAAACACGTATTGAGGAGTTAAGTGCAAGTGAAACTACCTTTGAAAAAGAGAAGACCACGACTTTCAGTTCAAACGAATGGCGAGGCATTTCAAAAAAGTAATTCAACTATACTACAGCTGCCTACTACTCCGAAACAACCAGAATGAGAGTTTGAGATAAGTCCCTTTACAAGCCCCCGAATGCCCTGGTACGGCCGAGAGTGGGGTGAGTTCGCTCTCCCTCTCGAAATACTCTCACACGGCCGCGCGTATACAGCCTCTGCCAGGGAAGTTCTACTCATTGCCTTCTCGTGGCGGGGGTGTTGTTTACGAAAATGAGAGGACGAAAAGCGAATGTCCGGCGCTTTAACCGGATCACAAACCAACGGTGCACATGGGCTCCAGTATCCTGCGGGAACAAATGGCGTATGAACCAATCTTTGGTCACCGGCTACCATGGGATTGCATCTCCTTACGATGCTCCACTGCCTTGTGGGTTAGACCTTTATGTCAAAGGCTCGGGGTGTGGCCCCCTAAGATAACCACCTGCTTCGGTTTGGGCACCCGGACAGTATCACAGCCCACACACAAACGATGAACTCTATGTCTATGGCAACTGCTTTTCTCGCTCCGAAAAACAACCAGTCGATTCAAATAATTATCATTACTATTATTGTCATTATTAATACTATTATTATTACTATTATTGTCATTATTATTATTATTATTATTTTCCACATTATTCACCCTCCTTTATACTTATACAGCGGCTCGTCTTTGGTGGAAATCCGACTGTATCTAAACGTTCTTGAGTCACTGTCCGGTTGAAAATTGTATGTTACCATCGAATTTGAGTACTGAAGCAGTTTTTCTGAAACCACGTGCGCCATTCAAACTGGCTGCCTTCAACGTTCGCACACTTATGCAGGTTGGTCAACAGATAGGGCTGGCTATGTCTTTGGAAAGTCTTAATATTGATGTTTGTTGTCTATCCGAGACCCGTATTCAAGACTCTGGCGAAGTACTACAAATTCGCTCTCCATCTGTCGCTTAGAAAAGCTTGTTTTACGTGCGCTTATCCGGGGACTCTGTGGCATCTTCGTCTGGTCTTGCTGGCGTTGGTGTCCCACTAAGCGCTAGAGCTGAGGCAGCACTAGTCGATTGGATCCCCATTAACAGTCGGTTATGTGCTGTTAGATTAGAAAGTTCCATCAAAGTGAGAAGAAATCGGCGTGAGAAACGATGTCTTTTCGTCATCTCCGCCTATGCCCCGACAGATTGCAGCCCAGATGCAATCAAGGATGAGTTTTACCACCAGTTATCTGTTCTTCTCCAGAAAGTGCGTTCGACAGATATTGTAGTACTGGCCGGAGACTTGAATGCTCAGGTCGGGCGTCTAGGCACAGAAGAGAGTCGTTTAGGTGGCCAATGGGGACTCGTTGGTCGCAGGTCAGATAACGGGGACCGTCTACTGCAACTGTGCACAGACCACAACCTGTTTCTGGCTAGCACTAACTTTCGGCACAGTCATCGCCGATGTGCCACCTGGCGTCCTCCCTCTGCATCCCAAGCCTGGACTCAGATTGATCACATCGCGATCAGCTACCGCTGGCGTGGTTGTGTAAAAGACTGCCGCTCCTTTTGGAGTACCTATCTGGACTCTGACCATGCCTTGGTCTGCGCCAATCTTGCCTTACTTTTCAGTGGACAACGAAGTGGCCGCCAGCAAAGGATTGATATTAGCAAGCTGGTTGCAACTTCTGTTGCAAATAAGTATCGAACCGAGCTAGCCTCTAGGCTAGCTACCACTCCATCGAAAAGTATAGATGAGCATTGGTTGCAATTGCATGACGCCATGAAAATGGCAGGAACAGTCAGTTGTGGGTTTGCGAAACGTCCCGCTTTTAAGCACTGGGTTTCTCCAGGTTCCTTACAACTCATTGAAGCCCGTCGGTCTACTCCGGGTGACCGTGAGTTAGACCATAAACGAAGGATGTTACGTAAAGAAATTGGGCAAAGCTTGCGTAAGGACCGAGAAGCTTGGTGGTCGAAGCGTGCTAATGAGCTGGAAGCAGCAGCTGCATCTGGTAATTACCGGAAGCTCTTCCATCTCATCCGAGCCACTGGCAGCAAGAAGTCTGGTGTGAGTGAAACAATCTGCGAGGATGATGGGATGCCAATCACCAACAACCATCGACGTCTTGGACGATGGGCGGAATTTTTCGAAGGGCAGTTCAACTGGCCTGCTGCTCCGGCAACATCGGTCAGACTGTCCTGCCCTCCATGGCCGGTGACGACTGATCAACCAAACGAGGAGGAAGTCCGCAAGGAACTCCAACTCTTGAAGCGTTACAAATCACCTGGCCCAGATGACTTACCTCCGGCTCTTTTTAAACATGGTGGTGACTTTTTGACTAAGGAATTGACGACGTTGTTTACAAAGGTTTGGGAACTAGAGAGTGTACCAACGTCATGGAATGAGTCGATAGTTGTCCCCATCTTTAAAAAGGGTTCACGTCGTTCTTGTAACAACTATCGGGGGATAAGTTTACTTCCGATTGTGTCCAAGCTATTGGCTTCCGTCATTCTTCGTAGGTTGTTCAAAACCCGAGAAAGATTGACTCGCGAGGAGCAGGCTGGGTTTCGTTCTGGTCGAGGATGTATTGATCATATCTTCACCCTCCGCCAAATGTTAGAACACCGCCATACTTTTCAAAGGCCAACAATCGTAGTGTTTCTTGACATCAGGGCTGCGTTCGATTCGTTGGACAGGACTGTTCTCTGGGATTGTCTATTGAAGAAGGGTGTGCCTGAGAAGTTTATTAACATCCTAAAAGCCCTATATAAAAACACCTCAGGCAGAGTGAGGGCATACGACCACCTCTCTCCATTGTTCCATTCCAGCAGTGGGGTTAGGCAGGGTTGCCCAATCTCACCATTCCTCTTCAACTTTGCCATCGATGACATTCTGGAAACAGCTCTGATGAATGTAAGTAATGGTGGTGTGGATCTGTTGCCTGGAGAAAGACTTCTCGACCTTGAGTATGCGGATGATATTGTCTTACTGTGCGATAATGCCCAAGGCATGCAATCCGCACTTAATCAGTTGGCAATCAGTGTCCGTAGGTACGGTATGTGCTTTGCACCTTCGAAGTGCAAAGTACTTCTACAAGACTGGCAGGATTCTAATCCTGTACTCACTCTGGATGGTGAACAGATAGAAGTAGTTGAGAAGTTCGTGTATCTAGGTAGCTGCATAAGTGCTGGTGGGGGTGTGAGTGATGAGATCAATGCACGTATAGTGAAAGCCAGAGCGGCTTATGCCAATCTGGGCCACCTTTGGCGCCTTCGTGATGTTAGTCTGGCTGTAAAAGGTCGGATCTACAACGCGTCGGTGAGAGCGGTTCTACTCTATGCTTGTGAAACCTGGCCTCTCCGAGTTGAGGACGTTAGACGACTCTCTGTGTTCGATCATCGTTGTCTCCGAAGGATTGCTGACATTCAGTGGCAACACCATGTCAGTAATGCAGAGGCTCGGCATCGTGTGTTCGGGCAGAGATGATAATTCAATTGGTGTCACCATCTTGAAACACCGACTTCGGTGGCTTGGACATGTTCTACGAATGTCGTCCAAGAGGATTCCACGTCGTGCATTATTTGCCGACTCTGGGACTGGTTGGAAGAAGCGGAGAGGTGGTCAGTGCATGACATGGTGTCGTGGCATGAAAGAAAGCTGCAAAGGACTGGCTTGTGTTGGTCCTTCACGACTCCCTGGTTGGGGTCCGAGAGATGGTGCTACACAGTGGCTAGAGACGTTATCAGATATGGCTCAGAATAGAAGCCAATGGCGATCCTGCTGTAACCTTCTTTTACTTTCTTCATAAAAAGTGGTTGTGTCTCCCTTACCTGATAGGTTTCTTCCGATTGTACTTTTGCGTTCCCTGATTACTAGCACATTACCTTACACCAATCTCTTCGTTATTGTTCTCTCTTTTTTTTGTTGCGCTCCTTAGCTTTTTTTTCCTTGTTTTCCTCTCGAATTTTCATTGTTTTGTGTGGCGCATATATATTGGCGCTCTCTTGTACCAATATTCTTGTACCCTTTACAACTGAATTTGAAAAAGCTACAGCTAATCTAAGACGAGGGGGGAGAAGTGGGACTTTATAGATTAACCCTGTAGATCTTTCTAGGTCGTGGTTAAATTTTAGCGGCTAGATTGATAGAGAAATTAGATACAAGCCTCTATATTCGTTAAAGGCTGCTGCTATGGAATAGCAAACCTGAGAAAACTAGGCCGGCTCCAAACCTGAATGTGAATGTATCGACCATAGACATACTTACCGACGTCCAATCATAGTCATACTGCATAAACTTGAAACAGGATTCGATTCCATTAGTCGACAAGTTTTAGGACGACATCTGTTAATGAGAAGTGTACCAACTGGTTGGTGAAGAAATATCTAAATAATACCAACCACACTAAACGTTTCCTCACTCCATTCAACTTCTTCCATATACACTCAGCTGGGGTTATCAAACCAACATCATTGTTTCATGACACAATTCACCAAACTTCATTCTAGCATTTTAACAACAAACTTAGTCGAAAATAATGCTGTCCTAAATAATGAAAACCGCTTTATCCAGTCCTGTTTGAGTCCACTAAGAATTTTTAGTGGCCCTTAATCTGACTCCAATCGGATCCTGTTATGATCGTATGAATGATTGCAATTGAAATATACATGTCGCCGACCCTCGTATATAATCATAGACTTAAATCGCGTCAGTGAATAAAGCAATTAAATGAGTCAAATACGAGAATGAGGTTTGAATACGGTTATTTCGTACACAATCAGACGAAGCGAAGAGGAGGGAGAGAAGTGAAATGGATTGATGCGCGGTGAAGGTGAATGAGTTAACTCGATTTAATCAAGCGTGAATCGATATTTATAGTCAAACAAAAATAACTTACAGACATGTAATGAGTAGGATAAACAATGCACACACGTATGGTAACATAAAAACAGTCAAAGTTGATAGGCGAATAATTAATAAGGTCAAAATGTAACTCAAGAAGAATGAAAAAATTGGCCTGTCCTGAAGCTAGGATAAGCTATGTTGACATGGCAACTGGCACTACACTTCTCTAGTGGTAATCCTTGACCTTAAGACACCACACAACTCCGCTGACCGAGCGGTTTGGTGACTGCTTGGCACTAAAAGGAGCACCAAAGACTCTCTATTCAAACACCATTGGTATGGTCGGAGCTTGTGGCGAATTGTCATCAGAATTGATAATATCAAGTGGTATCCGTTGGGGATGTCGACTGTCTCGATTCTCGTTTAGTTTTGTCATACACATGCTCCCGCAAGTAACACTTTCTTCACTGAACCTTTCACTTGGTCTACGATGAGATTCGTTTATCGACTTGGAATAAACACCTGATGGTTCTGTTTTGTAAAAATGCTGGTCAAATTCAGATTCATCTGATCACCTCGAACAACAAAGCAAGCAAGTTTACGATGTTGCCTTAAGACTGGTCTACATCAACGCCCAAACTAACAAAGGCAGTGAAGTAGTTAGGTGTGTTGACCACTTCACTTACCTTGGGAGTCTCATCAGCCCAAGAGGGTTGGTACCTGACGAAACCTCAGCACGGATTCAGAAAGCCCATGTTAATATGTGTTACTTGTGACGTAGGTAAAATCCTCCCAAACGCACTGGTACGACCGAGAATGGGGAAAGTCCGCTACTCCTCGAAATACTTTCACGTAACCACACGTATACAGCCACTACCAGGGAAGTCCTGCTCACTGCATCCTCGTGACGGGAGTGTTGTTTACGAAATTGAGAAGATGAAAAGCGAATGTCTGGTGCTTTAACCGGGTTGGTGGACACGGAAAGTCCACCTAGGAGAGTTAGAAAACCCTGATTCCAAACCGATGGCGTATATGGGCTCCGTGATCCTGAGGGAACAAATGGCGTATGAACATATCGTTGGTCACCGGCTACCATGGGACTGCATCTCCTGACGTTGCCCCGCTGCCTTTTGTATTAGACCTCCAGATCAAAGGCTCCAAGTGTGTTTCCTTAAGAAAACCATTTGTTTCGGTTTGGACACCTGGGAAGTATCACAGCCCTCATAAAAATCATAATAACTACTACTGGCCTCACTGTGTGGCGCATATGTACTTGATGCCTCTTGTACCAGTGTTTATGTGTTCAAATAAATAAAGTACTTGTCTCCAAGTTAAGAAAAGCGTAGATTGAGCAGCATTTCGCTTTGTATTACTATATAGATGTGAAACATTATTTATGAGAGATATGTGTAATATTAAAGATTCCCATTGTGAAAACTAGAACAACTCATACAAGCGAACAATTGTTTTCAATTAGATCGTCATCAGGCTTTACTCTAATATACATGAATATTTATACGAAAATTTTAAACCAATCAAGGCAATATGGGTCAATAATCACAATGAAATAGAATAAGTCTTGAATAAGCCTTGATTGGTTTAAAACTTTCGTATAAATATTCATGTATATTAGAGTAAAGCCTGATGACGATCTAATTGAGATATGTGTAAGCCGTAAGTTTTTGTTTATGGCTTTCTTTGAAGCAATGTTCACATACAGTGGAACGACCGAGTAAGTGATGTTGAGGTTTGGCATAGGGTTTTAGGTAATGACAAATCGGTTGACAGCATAGTAACTCTTCATTGACTGACAGGTATTATGTATGAGTGATGATGGACCACTTCAAAATGAGATGTTTGCTGGTATAAGTGTAGGTTAGATGAAAGCTAGGGACCGTCAAACCTAAAACGAGATGTCAGTCTATGATTTCACAGTTGCTCTAAACCATGTTGGTAAATACAGACTACGTGGTTAAAGTTTTCTAGGTGGAATGAATCAGAATCGATCACAGTGGCGCAGGTGCATTTACTCTTATTCTTCCCCTACATCTTGAGTTCCAGTATTTCTTCATCCATAGCTCTTCATTCAGCATTTTAGAATAGCATATGTAATGTTTAGTCCTTATAATTATTATTAATACAATTGTTTAGACTCCTTTCTATTCATGATCTTAATCTTGTCTCGTTATGGTATTGTAAAATGGCAACTTGGGCCAACGCAAATTTATGTCATGCTCTACCTTATGACTATGACTGAGTCTACACTCTGAGTTTACATACCTTGTTCACAGAACCAACTTACATCATTTACACTTGAAAATTTGTCAAATTTAAATTGAGTACTTCTAATTGATTTTGTAGAGTGGGTCAAAAGAGCAGCAGCAAGTCGAGGATCGGAATATGTTGAACAGCCAGTTTCTAAACTTTTTCAAAGAAAAAAAGAGTTGACAAAAAGGATAGTACGTTAATTGTAATGACTTAGTTTGTGAAAAGAAATTCATGCTTAGATTATGTGAGCTTATCGATTATTAGTATATATATATATATGGTTTGAAAAAGATCAAACAAGCCAAAAATGATATGTGTCGATATAGAGAATTAGACCAGCCAAACATATTTACTGCCTGACTAATTCGACGTAGCCAACAGGTATCTAAACAAGGGAAGTAGAGGATTAGGCTGAGGTCCGCTTTTTCATCTTCATCTCCATAAACAGCAACTAGCTGTCGAACACCACAAAGTATCTCTGCTCTGGAATCCTGGTCGGTTAAATCACGACCACAGAATCTTCCGTAGCATAGGACATAATTCAATTACCAATCAACAAATATGTTGGAGTGAATTCAGTTTATCAATCAAATGGGAAAAATAATGAACAGACACTAGGTCAAGAATTATGTTAACTGAGAAGACAATCAAAATAAAGGTGGAGACAAGTGTTGAAAAAAGTCTATTTTAACGAAACATGTTGTTAGTCACTTGTGGAGAAATCTCAGTGGCTCGCTTCCATCTGAAGCAGTACTGATTACATTGTCTAGAAAGACGATTAGAACTTCACGACTTAACCACATAGAACAAGAAAGCATAGTAACCCAAAATCATCCTCATGAGCTACAAATCCCCATCTAAAAACAAAAACGACAATGTTTGAAGACTATAATAAATTTATTGCATTTCCTTGCTTTATTCTCGGTGTATTGTCCGATACCTATAGAGATCGGAAAACAATTACTTTCGCATAGTATCCAAGACTAATGATTATTTAATCAGCTTTATAAAGAACTGCTAGTCAAAAAAATAAGAGCATTGCAATCAGAGATGCCTACATACAAAGAAACTGTCGGCCGATTATTTTGTTTCAGGCGTTAGTATGAGACAAAAACTAATAGAGATAGAACTGGACAAATTTTGAAAACCGAAAGACAGAAAATGGTACATACAATTAACACATTCAACCGAGACCAATAAAGCTCGTTCTTATTCCAGTTCACATCTTTAGAGGTATAAGAAACTAAGAAGCTACCATTTTATATCATACTGGATGCAACTCTTCCCATATATATTAATTAGGTCAACTAGTTTTATAAAACTTAAATCCGAGTTACTAAATAAAGAAAAATTGATCTGGCTACAAATAAAAGTTGGTTACTCTTCAAAAAACATCTGCAAAGATTCCTACTTTAAATAAATTGTTCTCCCAGATTTGTCGGAGCAGGAAGACCAACCTTTGGGCAACACATGTGGTAATTGCTTAATATGGCCTGAAATTGGATGAGGCCTTTGCGAAAGTCCAGTCAAGCGGCTGCACAAAATAAACAAATTAGATTAAACGTTTACATTGGCTTTTTAAATATGATGAAATATGTAAGGTATTGATACTTGGTGTATGGCTTAACTTTCGATAATGAACCTCAGTAAGTAAACCTAACCTCGATTAGTTGCTTCCAATAGCGTATTCTTGTTAACATACTCATTGTAGATAGATTTAAGAGAACCACAGGAAACGACCATTTTACGCTTCATATTTTCGCTTAGTTTTAAAACTTATTTAGCTTACAGACAAGATTCGTAAAAATAATTCAGAGGCCGGTGACCAACTTTCTAACGTAGAGAGGGATACATTTAGTTTGATTGCTGTCCAGTGATAGTTTACTGACCCTGCAAGTTTTTACATAAATACACTACACGAGAAACAACACTTAGATTTTATAACAAAGTTGAATTTGATTAACTCCGATGGTAAGCATTTTAGCTCTTATCGTGGAATAGTGAATAACCCCTTACATACCAATCAGTTATCGTAGTAACAGTACTACTATATCATTTTATAAGACACAAATCAATTGCCTTTCGGGAAGTCTTAAGACTTCGAAATAATCATTTCAAAATATTTGGTGAATCCGCTAAGTAAATCAACTTACTTGTAGTACGTAATGAAATTACCCTGACTAGTTTGTTCCCATTCAGCTGGCAGGTTGTCCTCTGAATCAGAATCATCCCATAGATTGACAGACATTCAAAGAGTGTAGACTTTGTTGATACTGTATCTAATTAGGAGGGAAAACGCAAAATTCAGGGGAAATTTAGGGAAAAAGCGCAAAAATGAGGGGAAATTTTGGAGAAAAACGCTAAATTTCTCCAAAATCGTGAAAAGGTTTGTGGTTTTATTAATAAATGTAAGCCGATTTCCCCAAAGTGTAATGAGATTCTGGGGAAATTTAGGGGTTTTGGTTCCATTTCCCTAAAATTGGGACAGTGGGAACTGTTGAACTCGAGATACATGAAGAATGGCCTGAAGGTTTTGTTGGCGAGACTATAAACGAACCAATGAGGTTTAAATGGTTCAAATGGTTCAAATGGTTGTGGACGGAATAGAAGAAGCTTTCGCTTAACAGGCTTCCGTGTCTAGTAGCAGGGGATCACCAAATCCTCCAGGCAGGAACCTAGGTATGTTAACAATAAAAAAGGAAAAGAAATTGGTAGGTTGATCAAGCCATGAACTCTGTCGCACGATTGAATCATCTATGCTAACCGGGACGGCAAAACTCAGTTTCACTTAAAGTCGCCCTCCGTTTCGTTACGACGACCTTGAATAGATTAGTCTGTTGCGGCCATTTTAATTGCTGTGGGTTTGCTGGGTGTCCGTTGGGTTGCACGAATATTAAGTGTTCTCATAATTAGGTAGTCCTTTGCTGCAGTAAAATCCCAAAGCACTAATTTAGCTTTCTTTGTTTTATGATATGTCAGTTCAGTTAAAAGTGTTGGTTTTGATGAAGTTTTGTTCTCTGAGCTGAATGGTCGTGGAGCTTTCATCGTTCTTCTGAACGACATCATCAGCACAAACTTCAGGTACTTATAATAGACTGTGTTGTCTATAGTTGTATACAAGCAACTTATATAATGTTCAAAGATGTTTAACGCATAGTTGCTTCAACTTACATTCTATAAACAAATGCCATCTTCATCACCATCTTCATTAGAAAAGTGAATCAAATGTGCAAGGTTTTAGAGCCCATTTTTCGGGTTCGATTTATGCAGTAAGTACAGAAGGCCTAAGACCTATAATATTCCTTTTCTAGCATGCTTCTGTGATTGTCTAGTCTTCAATTGAATGAGTCAATTGAAGGTGCGGCACTACTTCTCCGGGTAACAGATTCCAAGAATTGATGACTCGGTGTTAAAAGCCTGTATGCCACTGGTATTTAGTTTGTTCTTGGTTTTTCTACTCGCCTGCTGTGTCCTCTCAGATGTCGCGATTTAGTGAGAGGAAAAAGGGAAGATATTTTAGATCCAGAGTTATTTCTTAGTATTCTACACATCAAAATCAGATCACCTCCCAATCTGCGATAGGACAGGGTAAAGAGATCTTATTATGGTAAACATCTGAGTTCTGGAATTGCATGGGTAGCTGACCTCTATATTTTTACCAGGTTATCTAAGTCACATTTTAAACAGGGGCTTGTACCTCGAACGCAGTTTTCAAGCTTAGTTCTCATTAAGGTTGTGTATACTGTAGTGAACAATGTAGTATCTAACTTGGTGAATGTTCATCTTATAGCTCATATGATTCCAAACCCCGTAGCTGCAACCTCCAGGCAGTGGGCCATGATCTTAAGGTCATGACTCACATCACCCCAATATCCTTTATCATTTCATATTCACTCTCTTACTTTATTGGGTTGAGAATCCAATCCTTAATCCTTGTTCTTTAATTTATGTACGAGAATAGTCTCTTAGGCTGCTTGATTGCAGATTGTGCTAACTGCATTTCATATTTTCTCTGAGCTTTCCGGATATGTGCACCTTTGCAAATATGGACGGCATTCAGACTTAGAGATGTTCGGTCTTGATCCCTCAGATGGTAGCTTCGCGCCATTGAAATTTCGACCAGGTAGATACACCAATTATCTGAACCTGCGGTTCCTCTCATACTAAACAGGATTACCATAGCAACGAACAGACTGTACTTCATTGATGTACTCATTATTAAGGTAAAACTAACCTGTCTCATGTCGGTCTAAGCCCAGCTCATGTTCCCAATTAGTGGGTGAACAAACCAACACTTGGTGAATCCTGCTTCACAGTGATTGGAAGAGCCAATATCGAAGGTCTTTTGCCTAGAAAAACTGACCACGGTCTATCTTTGAATAGATTAATGATGAATTTCACTAACTTCAGTTTGTATTGTTATAAACAGTCACGTTAGGCTGACCAAACATTCATCCAGGTAGTGAGAAACAACTGCGTCAAACTATTTATTAACTGAAATAAAAGCTGTATAACAAGCACAAATATTACGAAAATTGATGTGTGATGGAAAAAATACCGTCAGTTGCCGATAAGTAACATGTAGCATATGAGCGAGAACCCGTAACCTGACTTCTTCACCGTCCCATGTTGGCCGGTTGGGCTGTGGATTAACTCCACGTTGTCAGGTCATCTGAGTACATCGGAGCCGTTAGTAACGATTATTTTTTTGTCTGTTTAGTTTGGAGTAATTCCTGTTATAGAATCAATTGGAGGTATGTCTCTTCCTACCTCAGTGGAAAAATTCTAGTCAGGAAAAATTCTTGTATTCTTTTGAACTCTACCCTAAAAGTTCAAGTTCATATAGAAGAGTTATCACACCACATAGTGAGAGCCAAGATTATTCGAAGCTCATGAAGATGAAATCACCTCTGACAATAAATATTACAAGTCACACACGAACATGAAGTATTCGAGAAATATGACGGACGAAAATGGTCCTTCAGATAGACGGTGGAGTAAGAAAACGCAACCTATCACTTCTTGGGACGAGTGAAGCTAATAGCAACCCAATCACACATAAGTGGACGAAATATTTAGAAAGTTTATGAGAGAAGTAATCGCTAAGCGAGGAACTGATGTAACTCCAGATCGCTATCTAGTGTACAGGATAAAAATGAAGCCAAAGAAACAATAGTCAGGTGGTCAAGCAGTACTACAAAAGTTTAGCACAGCCTTCCTTCCAGGTGTTGTAGGGCCAGCAGAACGTCACTGAGTCATAGCCGAATTACTCATCAGACTTACTCATTTCTGAGTTAAACTATGGGTCACTGGTCATTGGAAAATCTATCGGACGTCTTGAATAAAAAGGGTTGATCACTCGAGTGATATGAACTAGTCCATACAGTAGTAGTTTTACTATATATTTCTTTTGTCTTACTAGTACATTTCTTCAGCAATATGTTTGTCTTACGCAGTCCTCAAGGTGGTCTCGGAACGTAAACATTACGAAAGGGTAATCCAACTTAGGTATTAACCCAAAGGTGCAGCTTCAAAATAAGCTAGAAATTACATCATTCCCGTTCAACTCCAGTATGCCACAATCATCCACAGAGATCACCTACTTTGATAATCTAGTGTTAACAAGCTCAGTAAGCTCAATAGAGCTCTTGAAAGCAAACTTCAATACCAACAGGATTTACTAGGAGAGAAAGAAAAAATTCCAAGGCAAAACTGGAAGGCAATTAAAGATGTGAAAAACCCAAAATGTCGGAGCCGTCTTGCTTAAAGAAGCACAAGAATAAAGGATGGATCTCTATGAAGTCCCTTAGAAATTGCGAAAAGTAAAAACAAGATGACGGACAACAGACACCTGAGCAGAAGTATAAAAAGCAGTCACATGCTGAATATGCTATGGCAAAAAACAAGTTGGGAAGAGCATTGGAACTGTTGAGCAGAAACTTGTCGAATACATCGCAGATACAACCGAACAAACCGCAGGACAGATAGGAAGTTAACAGCAACAATACCATTCTTTCCTTAAGAAAATCTGGGGGGAAGAACAGGTCGGTAGAGGTCCAATATATCTTGTGGCAGAAAACACGGAGCGTAGCATATATACTTAAGTATATTATCCGAGAGTCAGGAGTTAATTAGACCCACGTATTTCGGGTGTATGTATAGTGTGCTTGCATTTGTACTTATATGTGTTTTGGAGAGCATGAGTTTCCAACATTTGGATTTCAGGTGTGTACATTATGCTATTGCTTGGTTGGCACTTTGACACTAATAACTAGTGGAAGAACTAAGGAATGTAATTAGCACCCTTCCCTTTCAGAATGGCATCTTCATATTTATGAATGCTTTGGAATCCATGGAAGTGATGTACAGAATGTGTTGTGAATGCGAATGAACCTGGCATTAAGTGTTGAAAAACTGGTATTTCCGTGCGATTCTTCTCCCTGTTTTCCGTTTCAGGTGTGAGTTGAGAGGTAGGTACAAAGTTTTTCTATTAATAGAAATTGAACATAGACATACAAACAACACCTGAAGCATTTCTGAAGTTACTGACGGTCCAAAACCAAGACCAACATACTTATAACAACACTGGTGAAGTAGTTCACTTGAAGTCTAAATCAATCATTAGACTCATAAATCGTGGGATAAATTTATCTTTCACGAATTGGTTATGACAGGAAAACCAGAAATCGGAAAACGTGTGAAATATTACATTCGCGACAGTCTAAATCACTTTTACAGTCTACACCATTCTTCTTAAGAAATGTTCTTTGTAATGTTAGTTGAGCCGGAGTGTACCGACTATTAACGTTTACTTGTCATTTTAGGCGCTCAGTTTACCGTCTTTTATTGGCCCACTTAGGTTGGATCCTCTCTCGCTGCTTCTCTTTCGAGTTCCGTCGTGTAGATAACTTGGAACAATCAGCAGTTGTTCGCAAGAAACATATAATAATAAAGCAATATGAATTCCTCTTCGTTCACTTTCTATCACTGTGGTAATTTTCCTTTTAGTCCACCACGGTTCTAACTTTTCTTACTTCCTATGGTATAGCATCGTCTACATAAAATACCTGTTTGTCACATCCACCTCGGTCGATATTAGAGAATAAACCTTGTAGGGATTCATTGAGTATCATAACATACTTTACTCTACACTTTCTTCTGAGCTTAATGACATCTAAAGCGCAGTTCTGTCTGGATTTCCGAAATAATTATTTGTCCCTTCAGTTTCAAGAGACATAAGTACCGGCTAGATTGTTTTCCTTCAGAGGAAGAATAAAAATTCTATCATTGGAAAATAGGGGAGAGATTTTGGTTAGTGTAAATTCAAAAGAGTACAGATAGTTTAATGATTCACTAGAAATATTTTGAGGATACCCCTTAAACCCTTTCCTAATAAGGATTCTCGTAACTTTCTAGTATAACCAGTGTGCATAATTTCTTTTTCACTCGCTTACCAAACGTTATATTCTGCAATATTTGAACCAAGAACTGATAAGGTATGGGTACCCCTGCACAGCGCTGGAGTATATTCAATTTCTCAACGTCACCCTCTTGACGGATGAATGTGAGATCAAGTGGTCATGACGCTAAATCCTGATTTTACGCATGCATTTGATTGGGCAGCCAACTATTCCACACATTTACTTTTCATGATATATGTTATCAATAGTATTCAAGGGGATTCTATTTCAAGTGATCACTGCTGCTCTTCCTCGTTCACATTTGTGAGTCCTGTCAGTCTCACTACTTCAGACGTTTCGAAGCTCAGTGCTTCCTTACCTGTAAATTGGCATGCCTCACATAACATTGTTATTCTAGAATACGTTAATAT